CGCACATGGGCCCTTTGCGTTCAATTGCCTGAATACGTGTGGTAGCAATATACAACCCTGAGACTTCCCACACAAAGAATCAAAGGCTTGTCCTTGACCTGAATCTGCAGGCGTGGTTTCGTGGTTTACCATTTCTGTTCCACGGTCATTTGCACAGGAGCTATTTCGACACTCCTTCATTCTAACAACTTGGCGTTCCAGGCCTCACGTGCGCTGCACGCGAGCGTTCTTTTAATTGTCAGTTGTGGTTGAGTGTGGGCGGGGGAAACTTTTCTCCGGAAAATGACCTGTTGGATGAGAGCGACTTTTTCTAGACTTTTGAAGAGTTACGGGATGTCCGTCTGACACATGGAAATTACGTGTAAACAAATTGTAATTCATTTAATATAGCTCCGGCGTGTTAGAACCAACACACCTGAAGTAACCGAATGTTGCTTGAGACAGGAATTCGTAGCTCTACACAAATAAACCCATAATAAATATTGCCTCATGTATCCAACGACGCCGACGGCCGACATGGATTAATACAAAATACATGGATGCTTATTTATGTACAACTATTTAATTTCTGTGCTTTAGAATATCAGAATGTGACGAAAATATTGTAATGTCATAGAATACATGATGCAAAAGACAGTAGTAGTAGTAGTAGTAGTCGAAGTATTGTACGTTGTAGTAGTACGTTAACGTCGCTTGCAAGATTATCGCACTTAAATAGCGCGTGTGCGTGTGCGTGTGCTTGTGTGTGTGGTAGTAGTGGAGGTAGTGGTAGTAGTAACAGTAGTAGTTGTTAGTGGTAGTGGTGGTGGTTGTTTTGGCATTGGTGGTAGTAGTAGTAGTAGTAGTAGTCAGCGGTGGTGGTGGTTGTTTTGGCATTTGTAGTAGTAGTCGTCGTCGTCGTAGTAGTAGTAGTCGCAATAGTAGTCGTCGTCGTAGTAGTATTAGTAGTAGCAGTTGTCGTCGTAGTAGTAGTAGTAGTCGCAATAGTAGTCGTCGTCGTAGTAGTATTAGTAGTAGCAGTTGTCGTCGTCGTAGTAGTAGTTGTGAGTGAGTGAGTGAGTGAGCGAGCGAGCGAGTGACTTTAGTTTTACGACGCTTTTAGCAATATTCCAGCAATATCACGGCGGGGGACACCAGAAATGGGCTTCACACATTGTACCCATGTCGGGAATAGAACACGGGTCTTCGGTGTGGCGAGCGAACGCTTTAACCACTAGGCTACCCCACCCCCCCTAGTAGTAGTAGTAGACAAACAGCATGAAATTGCAGCAGTAGGAGTGAAAGTAGTCATAGCATGTGCCCTATACAGACAAGTCCTAACCCCCATGCATGAAGACAGTCACAAAGGTTTACCCCTCACCCTACATGCCCTCACCACCGTCCCCCAACCACCCCTCCACCTCACCCCCACAACCACCCCTCCACCGCACCCCCCAACTACCCCTCCACCTCACCCCCCAACCACCACTCCACCGCCTACGCTAAAAACTAAGTGCGCCGTTACTGTGAAAACCGGTAGGGTTTTGTGGCAAACACGTCTGTGGCCATTTGGAGCTTCCTGTCATCTGCCATCTGTAGCACTTCCTTCGCGGTCACCGCCAAGGTTAATAGGTCACGGTGACCTCACCAACACACGTGTTCTTCATCATTGCATCCTCAAAAACACAGAAATATATATATTTCAGACATAACAACGAATGTTTTCATGGCGACATCGGGAAATTATGCTGTAGGACAGTAGCGCCATATTTGACCTTGATTTCCGAGATTATCAGATCAGTATGGGTACAGTAAGATTCCAATCAAGGTGAATTAACAACGATCATGAGTTAGAAATATGTCAATTATGCGCATATTTCCACACCACACAGGGGCATGCTCAAAGAGATGTTATTACCCCGGTTATTGGATCAGTGTGCACTCAACAATCATTCTCAGCTCCCTAGGGAGTATACAACCCATGCTGCCTGTTAGGCGCTAGGTGGTTAACAACCACTCATCTCATCCTACCGGGTACCCATTCACTGCAACATGAACAGAGGCACATTTCGAACAATGTCACTTGCCCAAGGTGACACCACCATGTGTGTTACACGTGCTTCAATGGGGGCAGGACCCAATCAGTTTTACGTTACACTGACAGCACGTGGTCAAGGTGGGTCAAGAATTATGAATACGGGTGGTGAGGTCAAGCAAACAATCGCGTCACAATGCTTTGCAGACCACTGTAATGTCATCGGGAACCATGATGCCACAATGAAGTGGCATCACTAATAACTCTTCCACTGAAGATGGTTAGATGTACTCTTTTACACTCAAGACTTAAAAAGTTGAAACAATTATTTTGGATGACAAATATAACCGTGTCTTTGGATGACAAATATATCAACACTAGTCGACAAAAGTTTGACACTTCTCGGCAAACCTCGGATTATTGTTGGTATATTTGATATCAAAAGACACCAAGGTGAGAGTCCCTATATACAATCGGTTAATCTCTGGATTAATGATTTTTCATTACAAGAAATGAAGAAGAAGAAGAAGAAGAAAAATATAAGACAGACACATACATCCCATTCTCGTATTAATGTGACTCTTCTACTTTGAAATCGGTAATGTAATTACACCAAAGGTGTCTGTATTGCGTCAACAATAGAATATACGAATGACGTCACAATAGTGTTTATATTACGTCAAAAACAGTGTCTTTACTACGTCAACAATGATGTCTGTAAGTTCGTCAAAAATTGGATTTGTATTGCGTCAACAATAGTGTCCGTACTTTGTCAACAATAGTGTATGTATTACGTCAACAATGGTGTCAGTATTACGTCCACAAGGTGTCTGTATTACGTCAACAATGGTGTCTGTATAACGTCCACAAGGTGGCTGTGTTACGTCAACAATGGTGTCTGTATTACGTCCACAAGGTATCTGTATTACGTCAACACTGGTGTCTCTTTTACGTCAACAAATGTGTCTGTATTACGTCAATAACGGTGTCCGTACTTTGTCAACAATAGTGTATGTATTACGTCAACAATGGTGTCTTTATTACGTCCACAAGGTGTCTGTATTACGTCAACACTGGTGTCTCTTTTACGTCAACAAATGTGTCTGTATTACGTCAATAACGGTGTCCGTACTTTGTCAACAATAGTGTATGTATTACGTCAACAATGGTGTCTTTATTACGTCCACAAGGTGTCTGTATTACGTCCACAAGGTGTCTGTATTACGTCAACAATGGTGTCCGTACTTTGTCAACAATAGTGTCTGTATTTCGTCAATAATGGTGTCTGTATTACGTCAACAAGGTATCTGTATTACGTCAACAATGTTGTCTGCATTACGTTTGTATTTGTTTGTTTTTTTGTCTGTTTGTTTGTTGTTTAACGCCGCACTCAGCAATATTCCAGCTAGATGACGGCGGTCTGTAAATAATCGAGTGTGGACCAGACAGTCCAGTGATTGACATCATAAGCATCGATCCACGCAATTGGGATACGATGACATGTACCAACCAAGTCAGCGATCACGTTAGTCGCCGCTTACGGCAAGCATGGGTTGCTGAAGACCTATTCTAACCCGGATCTTCACGGTGCATTAAGTCAATAACTGTATCTATCAACTCTGGTTGAATAAACTCTGATTCTCATGGCTAAGGATCACACTTTTTATTTATGTGAACATACGTTGATGCAATGGTTGTCTATAATACTCACGTTATCAGAGGTGAAACAAAGCGCTAACAGACAGTCGTCATGCACTTTTATTACTTGCCCGTGAAGAGATCACCCGTTTAAAAAACTTACAGCTGTATTATACATTGTGTAATACCAAAACGCGTGCTTATGTACTCTCGAAACACGTTTCACGAACAAATTTTGAAAGCTCTCAACATCCCTTGGCTTATTCAACGACATTGCTTGTGGAGTTGATAGATCACTGAGAGGAGCTTATGCACACTCGATGACCCCAGCAACCTTGTTGCTAGGCTGACGTCACATGGCATTGTTTCGCCGATGGATCTTGCAACAAAATTCCACAAAATACGTCATCGGATATTGTGACGTTATTGTTAACTTTGAGGTGCATGGCCCGTTCCACAAGGCGATCGCAACGACAGTCGTTAGTCGGTTAAAGTATGTGAGTTGCGATAGTCTTAGCCCTACGATAATTTTGTGAATACTAAAGGTGGACCGTTGTATGGTATTAATTTCATACGTTTCAACTTTTGACGTGTTTGAAGTATTATTCTGTTAAACTCAATTGGACTATGCCGTGGATCGTGTAAGTGTCAGCCTATTCATACTCAACAGTATAATTCTAAAAACGTTATAAATGGAAAGTAATAAATATAATACTAAACTCGCTCCCGTGTAAAACCAACTTTATGAAACTCGTGAATAGTTGTGGTATCTGACGAGCGTTTAGTATTCTATATTCTATATTAATGAGGGATATTCTATATTATGAGGGAATGATGGTGTGACGAAACACTTAATCATAATGATGATTGATTATTCATCCACAACCACCAATAATTTCAGTGATTACGCCATTGATAAAACATGTAATGTTCCCTTGTGGTTTGTGTCATGCCACAAAGAAAATGATACGTTTACAGTTTCTCATTTCATGATGAATATCCTCAAAACCGCAAGGAATTCGTGATGATTTTGCAACCTCTCCTCATCAATGTGCTATAAATAGAATAATAAGGGGAATCCATGGATTCCACTGTTTCCGCCCACGCAGTTTATCACATTATACGGATGGGGGTAATATTAGTGAGAACAAGTTAAAATCACTGAATGGCATTTGGGATTTGTTCATGGATTATATCAATGTATTCTCAAACATCATTTCTAATGAGATTTTGAATTTTCTTCAATCCATATAATTACAGTATGTGTTTGCTGTGCAGCAAATTTACCACGTAAACAACAACCTATCCCCCCTTTCTTTATAGATTCTTCCGGAGATAGTCACATCATTTCAACCAATCAGAAGAGAGATGCATGGCCCATACGGTATCAATGTTGATTATGTTATGGCTGACGGAGTTAGTCACTTAGCTTGTGTATTCTCCTGATGTAAAACGCTCTCGTCTGCTGATCACACACTATGGAGTTACCGGGTCTTTTGTCTGTGATATTTCTTCACGTTTTCATTCCAGTATGGGGTAAGTATGCATAGTCAGAGTCGATTGTCGCGATTTTACGACATACGGACATGTGTTCTGCCAAAAATATTCCCACCACGACTATTGTCGAGAGCGTGCTAGCGAGCTCTGCCCTCGCCTTCTGTTAACGATGCCATTCTGTTGACAGAGTTAAAGTGACGAACATATCCGTTCACTTTGTCATATAATAGTTAGATTTTTGCTTGACAGTGCTGAAAATATCAACACGTTTTGATGTCAAAGGAAAATCGACAATGGGGTAGACTTTCCTGATATGTAAACAAACGTAAACATATCCAAAATTTGACAGACTTTGCAAGTTCACACAAGATGGGCGTGGCACGTTATACAGATATATTGACAAGTCCTTGTAATATTTAAACCCCGAATAAAAGCACATGATAATATTACCCAAATTAAAAATACAATTAGTAGATCTAGTTATTGTATAGCCTACCGGCATTGATATATTAAAATGTAACTTACTGTTCAACTACAAGTCTACTTATAACTACCACAAACTACAGAGAAACTATATATCAAATTATAGTCTTTGGGATTTTTATTCTTGGGTTTTAGTGATGGTATATCATGATGTCTTCATACCAGTGACAATAACAGATATTGTGTACATTTGTTATCACATATATCATTATATTCACCTATAATCATGATAATAACCCATAGCAGTAGGGATTCTTCAGAAAATGGGACAGACATCTTCAAGGCTTACTCGGATTGACATGATGTTTGACACCACACCGTTTCACTGCTTTGTGTAGAAAAAAGATGTGTATGTGTGTGTGATAGTGTGTGTCACACAGACTTGATAGGGGATTATTGAAAGATGTGATGCCTGCAGATCAAAGTGCATGCGGCTCTAAAAGATGTAAGCCAGCTTTCAAGTGTTGACAAAACCAGACACATCCAGTCACAATCCAACACAGGTTTAAGTAGTGGACGTACGTGTTTGTTTTATGACAGTTTTCTGCTGTAAAGACTTGCTTCTTTCAGAAAATTACCATTGGAATGCGCGAAAATATTCTTACTTTTGCTGTTAGAACATCAATGGTCATATAGTGTTGGGTTCATAGCTAGTTGAATGGAAATAAGTGCGTAATTACCTAATCAGGAGTCAGCTTGGTAATTTCACACAGAGCCCTAATTAGTCGGCACCCTGTCACTTGACAGCCATCAAGCATGTAGAATAACCTACTTTTTGATATATGAAACAACAACGGAGAGAAACCACTGGCTTTATGAGGCTGTAAGTTGGCCATATAATGGTTATAGCATATGTTAAAATCAGCATGATAGAAATGTTTTCAAAAAGGAGCAAGAAGAATGGAGTGATGAGACATCTTGTTCCGTGACCATGATGAGGACAAATTAAGAAATACTATCTAGTCAGTCAGATGGTGGAAACCAAGGCAGTTCTCCACATTAGAGCTCACCTGGGTCATTCAGTTGGGCTCCTATTGTGTTTGAATCTAAATGTTTAACTTTTAAAATTAGGGTTATGACAAGGACCTTGTGACTTTCATGGTGAATTTCAAACACTGCAAATGGTCCTTGTGGTATTCTGATATTAAACATTAATGATTCAATGTGTCACAAGATTAATATTACTTTAGAAAAACTTAAGGACCCCCTTTGAGAAAATGTTGCAAATTAGCCACGAGAGGCAACTGCAGGACAAACACACGGGGGTTCTTCATGTTCTTGAGGGTTGCTGCTGTAGTATTTGAATGGAGGGACATTAGGGCTATGAGTTTCAGGGTTGAGGGGTTACAGAAATATGATATTGACGCTGGACAGCTAAGAAACCCTGGCTTCTTGTGAATTAGAAACAGCTTCAGAAGTAAGGGGAGCCAGCTGTCTGTAACTCCTGCCACAAGTCTGAACTTAGTCTTGCATCATGACTGTATTTTATGGAAAAAACACAATCTAGATGTTTATATACAAAAGCAAGTCTTAGCTAGCTCTATGAAATCAGCTTCAGGAAAATTATTTGTTTAATTTTAGAGTCGAGAAGGGTATTGTGTAATATAACATTTCATAGACTAAATGTTAGTCTACTCTAGTCTGAACTCTGAGTCTAGGAAATAGGATGTTTGTTTCTGGCTGGTAACAAATCTCCACATGTAACAATTAACTCTAAAATCAATGCAGACAGGCATATTTTGGCATAAAGCTTGTGGCACAGCGATCACAGTTGAAGATAAGTGAACTGTAGATGAAAGGTCAATATTGAAAACAATAGTCACATCACTCTTGCATAAAGCAATCTAACGCTATAAATTTAGTTCCTGGTACATGAATTGACATGTATTTGTATAAAATATCTCAAAAGCATCGGTAATATTTCGTAAAAAAGGTTCCTGTCATAATTTTATGATGTGTTACTTGATTTAACATATGTGAATTGTATTAGGTAGAAAAAAACATGCTAAAATGTATATAATTTAAAAAATTTAATCATTTCATTATCTTTCAACACATACACATACAGTTTAGTGTTTGGTCAGTCTGAACACTGAAGCCAATGTCTGGGACAAGGTCTTGTCAAAGTAGCAGTGTATCCAGTAAGGTATTAGGGATGTTATTGTCTTGAAGTCCTCTCCTTCACAGTCTGGTGCCTATCTCCAGTCCAGGTTTGGACGTAGTAATTTGTGCCCAGTGTGAAACTGACCCATTGTGTGATTGTCGAGATGAACATTGACTCTTACATCCATAACATAGGATCGGGCAGGCCAGCGTTAGAAATTGGCACTTGACCTGTAGTCCTTGCCAATCTGCCCAGTAGTTAAGGTATCGTTAGTAGAAATTTGCCATGGTTAAGGGTTTTGCTGTGTGTTATCATTATAAGGACTAGTGGACTAAAAATGTTATGCTGCAGGCAACAAAGTATGTTGGCTGAAATATGCCAAGACTGCCACTTGTCCCTCCAGCCCATGTGAAAAAAACTAAGCTCTTCCACAAATGGTGATTGTAGTTAATATTGAACATCCGCAGCTCTACGGAAAGAAACACAGAAAGACAAGTCTTGGCTACAACAGTAGTCCTTTCTAAACACTTTGGTACAGACCGGTAGTTGAAATCAAACAATTAATTACAGTAAATGTTTTCAGCCCTTGTGAAAAAACTAAGCTCTACCACAGATGACTATTGTAGTTAATGTTTAACATATTAGTAACCATGGTAACTTAGCAAACGGTGCATTGGTGGAGAGTGTTACAGTATATGTTTTCACTGGTTCAATCATGGGATTGGTACAAATAGCAATTGTACATGGTCTAGATTTATTCTTAAGTTTGCAGAGGAAAATTCTCAAATGGGGTGAGTTTGGATCTTTTCACACTTTCAGGATTAAGGTGTTGCATGTAACCATGGTAACTGCTTGAAACACAGTGCCAATGTTTCATCTTGGAGGAGTTTCCATTCTCCAGTAAATAATCTCCAAGGTAAATCTCTTCCATGTGACGGAGACAGGTCAATTTTACAGTCCAAGAGTTATGGCACTTCGATCCCCTGAATACATGAGTGTACCATAATCTGGCGCTGGTCCAGCCTGGCTTTCATATTCTGGCATCGGTGCCAGAGTTGTCTATTTCCCAATACTTGACTCATCCCTAGTCACTGGTGCTACTAGTCAGTTCACTGGAGTATTGACTCACGGCGCCTCCACTGTGTCAGGCGCTGGTATGGGGAAATACTACGCTTGTTTCCTAATTACCCGAATCAGCTAACTCAGAGGGAGGTTTTGGAGTAATAGTGTTTGGTGGAGTTATTTGCATCTACTACAGTTGGTTACTCAGATGTTGAAGTTCTCATTACTTCTAAGAATATGTGGCCCTCGTATGATTGATAGACTCTTATAGCCTATGACTGCTATGTGTATTTCTGACAGATAAAAAACTGAAACGTAATATATGGATGGTGATTGGTTTCCAGCCAAAAACAATTTGATGTTTTTTAAAGCTTTTGTGTATATTTGGTTCTTTTAACGTTTATTGTAGACTTTTCTTTATGTGGTGCTGATAATGTAGGCGGGGTTTGCTTTTTAGAAAGTTAACGGCATGTTTTAGATTTCTTGTGACCTTTTTGGCCTGTTTCGCGGAAATGTGTGTGTAATAAATCAGTGATGATTGATGGCTTCATAGTACATTAATTTCCAGACCAATTTTATTTCCTATTTCAGAGAATGTTTTTACACCAATATGCCAAGATGGAGTAGCTGAAAGATGTGGTCACCATTTGCTTGAGGTTAATGACAAAAACATGATAACGGAGAGTTAAAATAATGTTTTGCAAACACCAGATCGTAACTTGATTATTATTTTTTATCCCCGCCACAAAGTTTGCCAGGTGATATAGAGACAGAGTTAGTTCATCCGTCTACTTTCCGAAGAGGAGAAAGTTTCTCAAAAATCTAGTTAAGTTAGAGAATTTATATTAATGATTAAATAAGACAAATGATATTACTGGTCACAATTTTAAAAGTGCTAAAAATTGGGTGTCTCAAATTCATTTAGTTATGGCACTTGCTCTGTGCTTTTTAACTTAGTCCATACTGCATGAACTGGGGAAAAGTTTTCTCAGAAACTACTGACATTCTAGGAATGAAGCTTTGCATTCTAATCTAAGAGATAACTCTCAAGACAGTGTTAGAAAATTTGTGCCGTAAATTATTGTTTTCAGAGTGACTCCCCTTGCTACATGTTTTTAGATTTTGAGCATACACAGTAACAGCCTTTCATCCATGTTTTTTTAGTGCATAGTGTCTGCAATGGGGACAAGTTTTCGGAGAAACTACTGAAGTTAGCTTATCTGAGAGATACTTATCAAGACGGAGTTCGAGAATTGGTGCCTTAGGCATAAATTATTTTTTTCCAGAGAAGGGGCCTTTTTTGTGTAATAATTTCACATTTAATCATGTCTTCTGATGGCATGAAGCAACCAAAGTGCCCATCTCTTCTTATGGTTTTTTAGGACCCTTT